AAAAATTGAAAGCTGAAAAGCTAAAACTTGCAAGAATTTTATTTTTATTTTTATAAACTTGCAAAAATTTATTGATTAATTTCCTGTTGCACATTATCAGAAACTGAAAACAGTGTAGGCATTTATTACCTTTTTAGTCTTTTTTTTTTTTTTTTTTGATTTTGAGAGAGAATTTTTTATGCACTCTAGTATGAATATAGCTTGAAAAACTATATTATTATTATTATTATTTTGTTGGTGAGATATATAAAAATATTCCATGAAATTTGGGAGGTGCAGTGCTTATGGTTTTTTTGTTGGATTCCAGCTGCAGGAGTAGCAGTGGAAAGGACACATGCAAAGAAGAAGCGTGCAGTTAGTGATGTGATATGAAGGAGGCCATAGATCCAAACTAGATTTGCTTGTCTTCATTCTTGCTCGGAAAAGGCCAACCTTTCTCTGTACTATGTTTTTGCAATTTCAGCCTAGCTAGTCCTAGAGTTATATATATATATATATATATATATATATATGTGGCTGGATGGCTGTCCTTATTGTTAAGTTGGAGGGGTTCCATTTTAATAGAATTCGTTACATGTTTGGTTCTTTTCAAATCTCAAGTAATCATGGTTGATAATTAAAATGATTAATGAATTTGATTTGCCACCCTCTCATCTCTCTTATATATATATATATATTCAAAAAAAAAAAATTTAATAAATACCATGATATTTTCGAGTTAGTTTTTTATCAATCGAAACTAAAAATTCATTATTTTTCAAACTAAATCGACATCGTGATATATTTAATTTTTAATTAATTATTATATTGTTTTTTAAGTCAAACCATCATAAGTTTTGATACAATTAAAAAAAACCATGATTAGTTATTTATAAATAATAAAAATCATGATTAATTATTTGTAGATGATAAAAATTGAATTTTGATTTTAACCAAACCAAAACAATATTTTAATTATCGTTAGACTGCATCTCTTGATGATTATTTTAAATTAATTTTTATAAACAACAATATTTTAAATCAACGTCGTAATATATTTAGTTTTTTATCGATTACTATATCATTTTTTAAATTAAACCATCACAAGTTTTGATACCACCAAAACCATATTTGTAAATCATAAAAATCATGACTAATTATTTATAAATAATAAGACTTAAATTTTGATTGTAACCAAACTAAAATAATATTTTAATTACCATTAGATTACGTCTCTCGGTGATTATATTAAATTAATTTTTATAAACATCAATTAATTACTTATAAGAAAAAAGCAATTATATGGTCAATATAGAAAAAGTATAATTTCAAAATTCCAGATTATTAGAAAAACGAAATCCATTAAAGAATGAAATGGAGTTTCTTTTGGTACTAATGGTCGGACCAATTGCTAATGATTTATCTACTTTAGAAAACTAATTATTTCTGGTGAAAGAATGTTAGTCTTTCATGTAAGTCATAATTACCTTAATGTATCTTCTCATTGTAAAAACCTTTTTCTTGTTCCTCGCTAAAAAAATCACTCAACTTTTATTTTGACAAAAGTTATATTCTTTTCATAAAATTTTCAATATCACTTTTTCCTCCTTAGTAAATTAAATCAATTATACCAACATGTCATGTACTTTGATAACTCATGACATTAAAAGACTAACAATCATTTATAGAAAATAATCAATATTTTTTGAATTAGATAAGTAAGTTGAGAAAATTAGTAATTAGTGTGTCTTTTAATACATAAAAATATTATTTTTTGTTAGTGAAGAAACTAAATAAATAAATGATTTTTTTATATTAATTAAAAATATTATCAGAAAATATGTTATATAAAATTTTGATCACAAATATTTCAAGACTGATGTAAATAGAAAGGCAACGGGACAAACAAGAACATGTACGTGAGTGCATTAATTAGACAAGACAAAGTTGTTGGATTAGTTTAATTAATCATTGATCGTTTCTCGTAAATTGTTCCTCCAAACACGCACAAGATAAGCTGTCCAGCCATTAAGTTGCCTGCCAAGCCTAACCCGATAATTTAAAAAAGAAACCAGTAATTTAGAAAGATTAAGAAGCTCACGTGGTATTCTATCCAGCAATTGGTCATTAATTATTATTAATACTTCCATTACAAATATTAAATAATATTAGGTGACATGTTATAAAAATTCTGTTTCCTAATTTGGCAAACACAAAGCATGGTGTCAGGATACAGAGCACAAAAAAGGTATATGCAATTTCACACAACCGACTGGATTAAAATGTTCTTACAGAATAATATAATCCTGAATGATTAATTTTTTTTTTAATTTCTCATTTGTTTACAACTTGAACCATCTTTCCTTATTCTAATATTGTAAGATAAATGCCTCGATACATTATTATATAATACCTCAAGTTTATTATCTGTTTTAAGTTTTCGATTGTGTTCCATCTGTTTTAAAAAATTTAAAAATATTTAATCTATCATTTTGATTATGAAAAAAAAAAATTTAACTCAAATACTCCAGTATGAAATACAAAATAAAAATAAAAATTTTAAAACTTTAAAAATGAAAATTATAGATCATGCAATTTTAAATTTTTTTCTTCAATAAAGAGTATTTTGGTAAAAAAAAAAATTATGCATAATTAGAAAAATTGATTAAAAACACAAATCGAACATTTCAATAATTTTTAAAAACAGATAAGATGTAATTAAAAAAATATATAAAAAAACTCAAGATATTATATAAAAATAAATTAAGTTATTTAATTATCATTTAATCTTAATTTTATAAATTTTGTTACATATGAGTCTAGAGTATGTAATAATGTTTTAAACCTTTAGAACCCTTATTTTCCAATAATTTGCAATGTGATTAATCCTTCCTTCCTCTCCATAATTTTCCAACATCAGGGTTTGCTTTTTCTGATTAACTTCGTTATTTTTTATCTTTTCCTTGCCTGTGTCGGTAAATAGACATTTCAAAGTTCACTGTTAGAAGCTGCAAACCTATCAAGAATGTCTGAATGCAATAATTCAAAATTGGGTGGTTTTAAATGCTTCAGCTAATGTCTGACTTTTGGTGAATGCTTAACTTCCAGGACAGTTAAATGCGAGACCTAACCTTTTAAGGCTGTGGAAATTATTGCTTCAAAGGGTCCAGTCAACTTTTGTGTAGAAAAATTAACCAAGAAAACCAGACTTCCATCTTAAGTTGTAGAGTAACAGTGGAACTGAACCTAGCTAGATATAGCAAATCATAGTGGATTTAGACCAGGAGAGAACAGAATAATACCTAAAGCAGAACAAGGAGAGAGTCAAACGATACAGTACCCTAAGATAGTAGTGAAAGTGACGAGGCTCTTCGGTCTTGGATTATTGGTTCAGGTGACCCTAAATGACCACAAAGCAAGCAAGCACCAAATAGTGGGAGAGAGAGAGAGAGAAGATGCTGGCAATAACAGTGGCAGATGGCATCTATTGCAAATGTGGGGAAACATTGAGAGAGGGCAAAGTTATTGGTCAAGGAAAAGGAAGAGAGAGTGGAGGTGGCAGAGATTGCAGATATATCAGGCGCATAACACAGAAACAACAAAGAAGAGAGAGAGAGAGAGAGAGAATCTGACATATTTAAAAGGACAAGAAACTGTGGGTTGTGGACCAGCATTCTCACATAAACATGTGTACGCACCCTCTTTAATTCTCTTCAACACGAAAGGAAAAAGAAAAAGTCATAGCTCTTTGATCTCCCTCTATCTCTCGCTTTTCTCTCACTGATTATGTTAGGTTAAACCCTTCTTTAACCAGGTGTTTTTGCTAAATCTGCTGCCCACAAAACCTCAAACCCACTTGTTTTTAGTAGTCTTGCAGGAAGATTCCAGGCAAGGCAAAGCAAATGCCAAGTCAAGACTGCACCTTTTTTCTTCCCTCTTTCTTGCTGTTCTACGCAAACAAATATTCATTTGGGGTCGTTTAGGGTTTAGCAGAGAATATAATGGTGCTGCAAAGAGAGAGAGAGAAGAAGAAGAGAAGATAAACAAGAAATTAACAAAACAGAAGAGTGGAGGGAGGCAATAATTAGGAGCTGGACCAGTGTGCAGGCTTTGGGAGAGAACTAACATGACCTTGTCGGTTGTTTAGCAAGAGTCCCACACTCTCTTTCTCTTCTCTCTGTGTTTTCAGTCTCCAATTGTCATAACTTTTTTTTCTTTTTTTTGTTGTACAAAACCCACAAACCAGCCTACCCTGTTCCTTGGATTGATAGATTTCATGGGATTGGATGGGGTGTTAGGAAACACAACTCTCCAAGGCATCTTAGCTCTCTTTTCGCATAAAATTAAAGTTCTAAGATCTTTTTAATCTCCCTACCTACATCCATCAGTCTCTCTTCTATATATAAATCCCATTGTTAAGCTCTGGTGGTGCAATTACAGCTTTTTATTTCAAGTTTACAGTTTCTAATTGATCGGGGTAAGTATTGGTTTTTTATTGAGTACTTTTGTAGGGTAGGGTCCCATTTATTTAGTAGTACCAGTGATCTTCTAGACAGACTGTCTCTTTTTTGTTTTTTATTTTCTGGGGGTGTTTCAAAATCTCTTGACTTTGTTTTCTTGTGGGGTTTTTCTTATATTAATCTCTTCTTTAAGTCATCTAATCGTTTAGTATATCTACTGCTCAATCTCTTGCTTACATCTTTAGGAATAGGAGTTGAAATTAGTGAAATGGGTTGCTGAGTTTTGATCCCATTAACGTCAAGATCAGAACAAGAGAGAAGAGGATGATAATCTTACACAAGCGTTACCTATTGATTAACTCTTTTATCAAGTTTGTTTGTTTGGATTAGATGGGCTGGCTGAACTAGGGTTGAAAATGATCGCAGGAAGATCCATGGCTTCGAGGGAGATCTCAGCTGGAAGCTAATTATCCGTGCTTCAAGAAGATACATATATATGTTAAGGCAAGGCAGGTGGAGATCAAGATTTAAATCAAGGGTTTAGATAGCAAATTAAGTTTCATGGAACTTAGAGGCCAAGATAAGGAACTAGAGATGCCAAACTCCTTGAATTACAATCCACCAAATAATAGAGATTCTTCCTCGAAAGTCCCTAATTCTGGGCCTGCGAGAAGAGATCATCATCATCATACTGCTACAGTACTACCTCTTACCCTCGATGACCAATCTCTTTATCATCATCATCAACAACAACACCACCAAGCTCAGAAACCCACAGGAGATCTTGACCTAACTCCAGATCCAGCTCAAGCTACAACCTCAATTGCAAATACAAGTGCAACAAACACAGCACCAACTCCAAGTAGATCAATTTCAAGATCACCACCTCCAACAGCATCTTCGGCGTCAACGAGATATCGAGAATGTTTGAAGAATTATGCGGCGAGCATGGGAGGACTTGTTTTGGACGGATGTGGAGAATTCATGCCGGGCGGTGAGGAGGGTACCCTAGAGGCCTTCAACTGTGCAGCTTGTCAATGTCACAGGAATTTTCACAGAAGAGAGGTTGATGGAGAGCCACAATGTGTACCCAATAGTACTCGTTACAAAAACAGCAATGGACAAAGAAATATTCTGCCGCCCCCTCAGCAACTTGTCACTTCGCATGCTCCACCACAACCATCTTTTCATCAGCATCACAGATACCATCATGCCTCATTGAATACTTATGCCGCTCCAATTGCGCCGATGATGATGAGCTTTGGCGGCGGCGGAGGTGGGGCTGCAGCGGAATCATCAAGTGAAGATCTCCATATGTATCAATCAAATTTGCAAATGCAAGCATCGGTGCAGCCATCGATGTCGAAGAAGAGGTTTAGGACGAAGTTCAGCCAAGAACAGAAGGACAAGATGATGGACTTTGCCGAGAAGTTGGGATGGAGGATCCAAAAGCAAGATGAGCACGAGGTGCAGCAGTTTTGCTCCCAAGAGGGTGTAAAGAGAAAAGTTTTCAAGGTTTGGATGCACAACAATAAACAATCCATGAAGAAGAAGCAAATGTAAGAGAGATCAAACCCTTGAAAATTAATACTACTATTGTTATTAGGAGGTCGATGATCAAGGTAGATCCATCTTAGTCAATAATTAGATTAGTGTGAATAACCAAGTAGAGAGGAGAAGATAGATTAGCACTCACTACTATTTTTTTTTCTTCAAGTTCTAAGTAATAGTATTTATTAACATGAACCTGTATTCTTCTTAAGTTAGACAATCTGGTCAGTACTGATCACAAATACTTCGATAAAAATTGGCAACCAAACCCTTTCATTTTTTGAAGTGCAACATATTTGAAGTTTTTCTTTTCTATCACTAGCAAAAGGGGGAAAAAAAGTACAAAGAAAAGAGAAGATGAAACATCTTTTGGGCTTGTCATGAACATGGATTGCATGCTTCACACTTCCATGTATATCTCCTCTTTCCCTTTTCCTCCTCTTTCTGCGAGCTTAAAATTGTAAGTATGTGTCTACAACTATTCCATATGGCCCCTCTAAATTAGATTCCTTGAAACTTCCCACAAAACGTTAAGGTACGTTTTAAAGCCGGTTCAAACGGGATACAATAATTTTAGGACACAAAAATGAAGCAGCTAGCTGACCCTTCTAATCCTAAAGCTTTCTTTGTTCGTTCGTTCGTTCGTTTGTTTTTTCCTTCTCATTTGCCATTTTCGCAGGTCGTATTTGTTTTTGCTTGATACGTGTCTTGATTTTGACTGTTAATTAACATGGATTGAGACTTATCAGACAATGCATACAGCTTATGGACATTGATGAGTTGAAGACGACACATCCTCAATAATCGACTCAAGAAGATGATAACCTCTTGAATGCCAGCAGCCGTACGTGTTAATCCAACATTGTGTATTAATTAATGACCTAATCAAAAAGGCAAAAATGTAAACGGAGTTGGAATAAACTTTTGCTTTTGCAATCGATCAGTCGTTAGAGTTCAATGTAAATCGAGGAGGAATTACACCACCTGTCAATCAAACAGCTCTTGTTCAGAGAAAAAGAAAGTTAGGAGAAATAAGAAAGTGAAACTAGTTTAGAGTTGGTGCAAACTAATTAAATGGCGTGGCCATCAGAGAAAACTAAGATCTCCCTAATCCAAGAGAGAATAATTAGTGGCATTAAAATACAAAATAATAATGATGATGATAATCAGAACTGGCTGTGATTGTGAAAGAAAATGACTGAAGGAACCCGATGAAAGAGATGCAGAGACAAACAAAAGGTAAGTAAGGATAACAGTATAACACTGTACAAGAGTCCAACTTCCTAAGCAACTCCTGTAGGAATGATACTGCAAAATTATCCTCCAAGAAAGGAAGGGTTCCTAGCAGGAAGGTTAAAGTAAACAATGTGTACCTGTAAACAATATTTACCCGAATTCCTACTCTTGTTGGACATGTCCAGTGTTTTCCTATAAACCTCGAGTATCTGACGCATTAACATCAATCATGAATACATGTACACACGGAATTTGATCATTTACAAACCAAATTAAGTAAACTGTAAGTACTTAATGACATTCAACATGGATACAAAGGAATAGATATAAAGGGATTAACACAGTATATATTGTTAAGTTGTCGAGACTGACATGGATGTAGTTCATAGTTTAGAATTCTATACAAACGGCACGGCCCTAAAAAAATCTATAAAATTTTGAGTCAGGTATATAAGCTTTTGAGAATTTTTTTATTATAACTCTAGTCGACAATATCTCTTATATTTATAACCATTATATAATAGAATTTTAATAAGAAATCTTAATGTAATTGTAGAATATACATAATTATTGAACCATGTAATTTATAAAATTACGTAAATCTTTATATTGTGTGATTATTTACATCTTTTTATTTTATTTTTTGGTTTCCAAAAGAGACTGTATCAATTTACACTGAACCTTGTAGACTACTAAGAAAGGAATTTCAGCAACAATTGTTCCATGTCTATACGGGCATTTTGAATGAATAAAGTGTCACTACAAGTACTGATATTCCAAGCAATTGCTTTTATTATACATGTTTAGCAGGCAATTTTAATAGCGATTATGATAAAAGCATTTGTTTCAAATGCCGAATTTAACTGCATTAATTTGGAACAAATGCCTTCTTATCCCATGTTGATATATAATCAAAGATATAACACCACAAAAATTAAGAAAAATACCGCCAAAGATATATAATAATGGCAATTCTGAAATACGATTATAATGTATATCTATCATAATAGCATTTATATCGGTAAGTTTTTCAGACAAATGCCATTAAAAGTTGATTTTGCTGGGCTGCTGTTTTCTTTAGAATTTCAGATATTCAAGAGGCCTAATGAGAAAAAGAAAACAAACATTACTACATAAATTTTATTGGATACAATCTCTAAAAGATGTTCAAGAGAACATGTGTTATGAGGAAGAAGAAGAAGAAAAAGAAACTAACTAAAGCTAGTAATGACATTGACTCACAGATGAAGAGATACCGAGCCGAAATAGGTAAACTCTACTCAAAGTTCAGCAGTCTCCTTTCTCATCTTATCTCCAAGATCACCAGTGGCTTTTGACAGCTTCTCCTTGGCAGCTTCATAGTTGGTCTTTGCCTGATCAGTCATAGAGTCCTTGGCTGACACATATGCCTCCCCAATCTTAATTTTAGCTTCATCAAAAGCATCTCTCTCACCATCTCCTCCGTACCCCATTGCTCCTGCCGCCGCTTCCTTGGCCTTGTTAGCCTTCTCCGAGACAGTATTTGAAGTCTTGGAAATCTCCTCTTTGGCTACATCATAGGCATCAGTGGCTTTCTCTTTTCCATACCACATTGCTTCCGATATTGCATCCTTCGCGTCACCTGCCTTCTCTGAAGCCATGTTTAAATCTGCTTTCGTATGCTTCTTAGCTTCATCATAAGCATCTGCAGCTCGGTCTCTTCCATACTCCATTGCTCCTGATGCAGCCTCTTTGGCATCACTAGCCCAATCTGAGGCACTGTTTGAAACCTTGTTATAGGCATCAGCTGCTCTATTTCTTCCGTAATTCACTGCTTCCCCCATTCTTTCTTTAGCATCATAAGCCTCATCCATGACTGTGTTCATGTTCTGGCTAGCATCACTATACGCATTTGCTGCTTTATCTTTCCCATATCCTAATGCTCCGCCCATTGTTTCCTCGATAATGTTCGCTCCATCTGAAGCTTTGTCTTTAGCAATGTCCCACTTCTGTCTAACATCATCATAGGCACCCTCGATTTTATCTTTTCCATATTCCATTGCTCCAGCCATTGTTTCCATGGCATCGCTATCTTTAATATTGGAAGCCATTTCCTTGGCTCGTTCAGCTTTCTCTGAAGCAAGGTCCCTCATGTCACCTCCCTTCTCGTAGGCCATGTCTGCTGCCTCACCAGCCTTTTGAGAGACATACCTTGAAGTTTCTGAAAAACAGATGGGAAATCAGCAAGAGAAACCAAAATTCTTGCTTGTTGATCAATCAAGTTTGGATTGGCAAACAAGAGCAAGAACGATAAATAATTACCGGATGCAACAGAATTCATAGCATCTGTAGTCTTTGAGGCAGCATCTCCAGCTCTATCCATCAGATTTTCTTGATTGAATCCAAATCCACTGTTAACACCATTAGAACAATAGTGTGGAAAATTAATGGACAAAGTAATTAATGCTTCTATAACAATCAAATAAGCCATATGGCCCTTTAATCTTCCACTAAATTTGGGGTACTGTCAAGCACAAGAGGAATTAAAAAGGAGTGGATAATGGGGTATAATTATAGCAAAACATGCATGCCAAGAATTGGCAAATTTAGTGATCTAATATTCATTAGAGTGCAAGAAATATAATCACCTTTCAGATTTTCAATAAAACTTTAATTGTACTTCTATAAATAATTAAGTGCATTGTACATCTTATAGAGAATTTATTCCTGTTGCATTGATTCACATAATTTTGAACTAAAATCAATTAACCAATCAATGTTTTCTCATAGCATAATAAAGAAATCGTTAGGAAGAAATGATATAAATACAGAGATATAGTAGATATTTAGGAAGAAACGAAGGGAGAATTAATTACTCAGTGAACTTTTCAGAAGCCCAATTAGTCCAAGACTTTCCTGTCTCCTTAGCATCTTGCATGGTTTCTGCAGCACCATCCTTCATCTCTTCCGCCTTGATCCTTGCATCTTCCGCCGCCAAATTCACTCTCTCGTTGGCATTCTCAACCACATCCTCTGCACTACCACTATTACTCCAACACCAACATAGCACCATCACCATGATCATCACCGCAACTCTCTTCTCCATCTCTCTTTAATTCCTTTCTTCCAAAAATACGTCTGTTTTTCGACCTCGTATGGCACAAACAACCGAAACCCAAGTTGGAAGTCAAGCAGAAATTTCAAGATCTTACAATGTGACTATGCTGTTGCTCCTCCTTTAAAGAAGATCGATGGTAATAACGGAGAAACCGTTGGTGTCAATACGTGTCAGCAAGGGGAGTACGTGTCGAGAGTAGGGGCCGATTCTTCCTGCTATGATGCCATGTGTTCTTCAAGACAGGTTACGGTTTGTTGGCCGCTTTTTTTTTTTGCCCTTTTTTCCTGCAATTTTTGTAGCAATATGGAGTATGGACCGTAGGTGTGGATACAATTTGCAAAGGGAACTACAGACTGAAATTTTCTACGAGTCTTGCTCCTTGAAAAAAGCAGGGGAGGGAGCATTGAGACACCACAATCTCCATCGATACGTTGCCATGTTGGAAACAGTCTAAAGGAGTTGGGACAATAGTTTTACGTAACCACCGTTATATTACATAATAATTACTATGTAATAAATTCTAAATATTTCGTTATTTTTATTTTAATATTATAATAAATCATAATCCACACAATATTTATCATTTTAATTTTTTTAATAATTTATTATCGTTGTTTTAATATTATAATAAATCGTAATTTATGATAACAATTGTCTATTTTTTTCCAACGAGGTGCTGTTTTTTGAGATTGCTCCTTGGATTACAAACATCAAACCTAGGCTTCAATTTGTTGGACCTTCAACACTGACTTTCGACCGTGCAATATTTGTGACATTAAGCTAGCTAGTCCCTTTGATTTTTCTTTTTCTTTGTTTTTTTTTTTTTTTTTTTTTTCTCTAAATCTTCAGCCACCTATCATAAGATTTTACAAGCATGGTGCTTCAATCTTTCCAATGTGTCAAAGCTTTGTTCTTTCGGAAAAGTAGAGACAATACAGAACTAAATCCCGAAGCCAATACAAAACTTTGTACAAGTCATTAGAAAATTCTTTTAAATGCCCTTTTTATGACCAAAAAAAGGAAAATTGTGAAAAACAAAAAGATGGAATAAAGGATTATCTCCCAAAATCTGCTTATGCAGTCCCCAGCGACGCTTGCCATCAAAATCAACACCGTTATTAAGGTGAGGTGAATTTGGGATGAAGTGGACAGATTATCCCATTTCACAGACTTCTTAGTGCTTTTTGGCCAACAATCTCAACAAACTGGTGCTGTGTCTTGAATCTCCTGAAAAAATCTGCTTTATCGACCATGGAAATCGATATAAATAACATCTCGAATATTCAAAAATATAGAAGAACAAAATTCCCATTAAATATCTGGGATAGATCAGATGAGTCGATTCGAGAACGTATTCCCAACTTAAACTGGATTACCACCATCTGATGCCAGTTTTAACCGCTGGTGATGCTCTGCAACCTTGTAATCTACAATCTCCCTAAATAGCTGTGAATCCAATACACAATCAGGGCGTCCGTAGACAGCTGCTTGGACACTGGCCATGAGTTTGGCTATCTCACGTCCGGAGAACCCTTCCGTTTTCTTAGCAGCCTCTCGGATCACGTCTTCAGAGATATCTTTTACGGTTATTTTTTGTGACTTCTTCTTGAACAAAGATCCCTTAATAGATCCACTGTCCCCTTCATTAGAAAGGTAATTACTCAAATAGAGGTTGAGCAATTTAAAACGCTCCTCCTCTCCAGGTAGTGGGAATTCAATCACTTCATCAATACGGTCAGTAACAGCACTATCAAGATCGCCTGGCCTGTTTGTGGCAAGGACAAGAACTATGTCCCTTGATTGATCCCCAGTGCGGAAGAGCAATGCATTTAGAGCACTTCGCTGAGCTTCACTCATGTGTGTACTGTTACGCCTGCATTGGACCAATAATAGCACTACCAGCCTGATTACCAAAAATTAACTTGAAACCATAAAGTTGAAGCAAAAATTGAAATTCTGTATCCACAAGCACTAGTATTATTCTGAACTATTTCGGCAATTCACCATGCTATACAAATCCAAATGCTATTTTGGTTTTTGTTTCAAATGGGTGAGAAGATTGCAAGTGCAAGTCAATCTCAAAGTGCTGTGAAACCCTGATCATGCATTATATTATCTCTATATGCAAGATTACACGCCATCGATAAACAAGAGTATCATTTTATTTCAATAAATAATCTGGAAAACGCTGATAGGCCTAAAGCTTAATGAACCAACATGATGTTAACTTACTCGCTTAGGAAAGCATCTGCCTCATCAATGAAAAGCAGCAAGCCTTTCTGTGACTTCTTAGCCCAATCAAATATCTCGTGGATTTTAGTAACAGCTTGTGCGCCCAGAGGTGCAACATCTCCTCCTGTCATCATGGCATAATCCAAACCCTATGCAAGAAGACCAGAGATCAAAAAACGGTAAGAAAGTTTGGAAAAACCGAAGTTTGCAGGGAAAAAAAAAACAGGTGAACAGAAAAGAATACAGTGGTCATTCAAAACCTTTAGTTCTGCTCCCTAAAAAAATAAATCTGAAACTAGTGCCAAGAGTAATAAGTCCTAATGAAGCATATCTTATGGTCTATTTCATATCCAAAAAGCACAATGATTAAGTAGAGTTAAGCCAACCATCATGTTCGCAATAAACGTAATTCAGAATGTGCTTTATATCCTTTTTACCAGTTTCAATCTGTAAAGTGGAAGAAGAAATCATTAGATTCAGTATCCGATTGCATGTTAGCACAAATTATATGGTTTCTACACATAAATGGTTCCTCGACAATTCAAGGTATCCCTCGGAGATTGCTCACCCACAACACCAACAGGTTCAGGGACCAGAAACCAACAGAAAATTTATAAAAAGGAAATAACTAAGTGCCAGGTATGAAAGCAAATGCAAGGAAGCAATGAGTTAAACCATACCGATTTTCTAGCTATCTCCCTTGCAACCATAGTTTTACCAGTGCCAGGAGGTCCATAAAACATCATGTTGCGAAAGGGTGCCTGGTGAGTTTTGGTGTTTGCTGTAGCTCTAGCAAGGTGCTCTATTCTCTTTTGCAATGACGGATGGAGGATAATATTTCCGAAACCCTTTTTACTTTCCAAAGGAGATACTGTTCCAGCTGCTGTACTGTAGTTCATAGCTTTGTTTTTTGCTTGAGATATTACCCTAGAAAATGGCAATCTAGACATGGATGATTCTCGGATCAGAGAGGGTTGCCCCAATATCCGGTTGATATAACCCCATGTAACTCTAGAACCTTCTCTGTAAAAACAAAAAAGACAACCTAAGCATAGTTAGATGGATTATCTGACACCATTGACCTATCAATTCAGCCATGTCCTTAACAGAATTATGTCTGCAATCAATGTATTGAAGCCCCTAATAAATAAATTCAGCTTTAGAGTTATTGAAACTTCATTAGACACACATTTCAAGAAGTGTCTACAACAAAATGGTGAATGAATGATCATCATGGCAAGTTGCAGGGTGGTAGTGGTGGGGGTGATGTTAAGATGAGCTTGGAGGGGTGCCGGTAGGAAGTTATATTGTTGTGTTGATGTTACATGTCCCATCTATTTGCCAACATGCCCTGGCTTTAATTATCATCCTCCAAAGAAGCCCAAATTGCACTATGTGTCAAACCAAGTCCTTAGCTTCAGACTACTTCATAATACCCAGTCCAAAGCGTCATGCCTTTTTTAAGAAGAAACACAGTAATAAACTTCCTAGAGTACATTAGTCTAAATTACCGAAAACAGAGAGGCTGCTGTGAAAAAGGCATTATACAAACCTAGTTGTGTAAATTCCCGCAGCCAATGCAGTAGCTCCTCCAACAGTCATAATCAACTTATTTCGATCAGTTAATAAAGTCCTAAAACCACCTGTAGAAGCAATTTATATCCATGAATTAAATACTGTTCAACAAACATAACAAGATGCACTGAACTAAAGCAAGAAGCAAGAGCAATAGCACAGTATAACATCCATTTCAGTTGTTGCAGAGAAAACCATGTGATTCATCTGTGGTTTTGTAAACTTTTAAGCAAGTATCTAGTTCCAAACATGACACCCAGTACATGCTTATTTTCACCAGCTCAGCCCTGTAACTGAGACAACCACAAATCGAGAAGCATGCTAACCAGCAGTTACCTTCAATGTGACTAAAGGTTGTATTAATTGCAGCAAGCCACTTTTCTCTTTCACCATTTATTCGTTCAACTAGCATTCGTCTGTTATGTTCCTCAGTCAATTTTGCCTCATGGGCCCGACCTTCAGCCTCAGCCATGGCTTTAACTCTTATTGTCTCCCGTTCTATTTCAGCTCTCTCTTTCTCAGTCTGACGTTGTTGAGCCTGGATCTGCTCCTCGGTAGCCCGCCGTGCTTGTTCTTTTCGTACTGAAGACGCCTCTTGCATCTTAACCAATTCAACATTATGATGTCTCTGAGCTTCATGATCTGTCTGCAAACAATGACAACAAGCAAATAATAAATGTAACTTGCTTTGCAAGAAAATAAGATAGCTGCCTACTTCAAACTGACTTAAACAAATGATTTTAAGCAAAGAGTTGATTTTAAATGTAACTTAGTTCAAGAAAATATAAATGGATTTAAACGAGTGAGCTAAGGTAACTAAACTTGCTGTGTTCTTGAATGATTTTTTCCAAACAAGAACATACAAGTCAGATCCACGAATCCAAGGGTTCAGCATTCTAATTAATTATAAATGTACTTGTTAACCTACGCCACAACAATTCTGTGACATTAGCTTCACTGGCAAGATTTTTTTTTTCACATATCAACTGAAAATGCAAGGAAGTTTTGAACAAAGTCCTAGGACTTTCTCTAAAATAAGAATTAGAGGTTATACCAACCTGCATCCTTTTTCTCGCCAATTCATCCTCATACCGCAACATTTGAGCCTTCGCCTGTGCCTGTTGCTGAATCAGATTTCTTTGTTCTTCGTGCAATTTTCGCTGCCTGTCCTGCCAATACATAAAACTCATAGCATAAACCAAAACAGCCAACAAATTTTCACCACATTCCACAACCCTTTTGGTAACAAAATAATCACCCTTGCTAGCAATTAACAATAGAGATGCATTCAGATCTTAACGAAGACCAACAGAATGAACACGTTAAGCAATCACCACATAAAGCAACACAAACACCAAAAAAAAAAACCGAGAAGTACCGTGAGCTTCAGAAGAAAACATGCGCGCAAGATAATTTATCACTCACAATATCAATCTGAGCTTGAATTACTTCATAATGAGCTTTCTCCGCTGCCACTTCCGCCAATCGTGACTGCTCTTGCTTCCTCATAATGTCAAACACCTAAAACAGCACAAACACCATAAAAACCCACCAAAAAAATCACTCAAAAAATTCACATTTTAGGGTTTCTAAATTTCAATTTAACAAATTAATTAGCTCGAAATAAAAAAAAACAGAGAGAACGTAATTTCATTTCCTCAATGAAATTGACATAAAAAACCAAAAACCTGTTTAGCTTGTGGAGAGCTATTAATTTCACGAAGAGCTTTAGCCCCTCTCTCTAAAGCCTCCGGGTCAAAACCCGCCCCTTTCGGTTCGTCAGGATCGGGTTTTGCATCGGATTTCGGGTTCGCTGTTTGATCCACTTGCTGTTCGTGCGAAGTAGAAGAAGAGAAAGGATTGAAGCGAAATGACGAGTCGGCATACGCGCAATTTTGAAACGTCGAGACAGCCGCAGCCGCCGCCACGGCAGCCGCGGCAGACAGTCTGGAAGCGGACATGAGCAGAAGAGAGATGTTGAATTAAGGTTTGATTTAATGGATTGGAAATGAGTTCATGTGGGTTTTTGTGAGCGTTTTAAGGTTGCTAGGGTTTAAAGGGAGCTAGTCTGGTTCTGTTTTGCGGAGGAGGGTTTAAGGAAATGCTTGCGTGGAGAGGAATCTAGTGATTGGCTGGTTGCCGTGCTAAAACGGTGAAAGAGAGGGTCGTTTTACTTTTTCTGGATTCGTATACCAAAAAAGCCTGTCAAGGTAAAATTTAAAAACATTATTACAAAATTATTTTTTTCTTTTTCTTTTTCTTTTTCTTGAACATAAGTTCAATTTCAAAATGACCAAGTTTTTTCTGGATCTCATCAACTTTTCTTCAAACAAGTTTTTATTTTATTATATTTTCTACAATACTTTAACAAATATTATATTATAAAATGATGAGATAATTTTTTTTATCAAAATTAACCTAATCACTCAATTTAATTACAATTATAATATAATTAGTTAAATTATAGAGCACTGAGATAATTTTTTTTTATGAAATATAGGTCATGAATAATTCATAATGTTACAAATAATTATTTTTTATTAGTACGAGACTTAAGCTAGTTTGGCCTAAAGAACTGCTTAATGATCAATCAAAGATTAGAGGTTATTTAATTTAAAAAATAACAACTTTTGTATTGATTGATGTAAAACTAATCTCAAAATACTCTATTATTTATAAATATATATTTAAAAAAAAAAAAAACAGTTGCGTAAAGGTTTATGCCAATCATTGAAGCCTAAAAAATTAGTGAAAATAGCTCAATCCCTCATGATAGATGTTTTAGGGTCCATTTCCTTGGACTTTTGACATAAAGTTTTGCTAATTTTTTTATGAAATAATAAATCATTAATAATTCTTAATGTTACGAATAATTATTTTTTAATAGTATAAGACTTATGCCAATTTGACCTAAAGAATTACTTAATGATTAATCAAAGGTTAGACGTTGTTTAATTAAAAACATAATGAGCTTTGTCTCGATCGATGAAAACGAACTCAAAATACAATAGTGAAAATAGGTCAATCCCTCATGGTATATGTTTTAGGGGTCCATTTCCTCCGACTTTTTACATGAAGTTTTGATGATAGCACCAGGCAAATGGGAATTCTTCTCGTGGGTTTCTTTCTTCAGTATATTTCCTGCATACGTTATGAAGGTTCGATGCTATCAGAGAGCTTATAATTCAATGGTAGTATTCTTTTACGCTTCTTAATAAAAAATTACGTATTTTTCTGCATGTGAGTTAAAAAAAAAAAAAAGTTCTATGCTCTTTTTTACAAATTTTCTGATAAACTTTACTTATATAGGAAATTCATTACACTGATTTGATTCTACAAGAAGGGTTACAACATATATAGAGAGAGAGAGAGAGGATAAACAAATAAGAAAAGGGAGATATTAACTTGGTGGACAAGTCGTTTTTTCCAACACTTTTTGGGAAACAGTAGTACTGGGCAAGTAGTATTTTCAATTACTTAAAACTAGTTTCTTAGCTGCATCTTGTAGTTTGCTGTAGCTTTTGGGTACTTTGTGAGCCTGCAAAGGAAGACAATAGCGATGGAGTAAGAAATTTTAGACCGCAGAAAAATTCAAAACCCAAGTCGTCATGGGTTTAGTTATTTATATATAGTTCAGGTAATGAAGCAGCTAGGAGTTCCAGCTAGGTTGGAAAAGCATTGAACATGAATAAAGACAACATGATCGATGCTTCATGATAAAGAATATTTATAAAAGATCTGAATAAACTATTATTAATTTTGCTTTTCAAGAGAATCCTTAATGCAAAAAAAAAAAAAAAAAAAAAAGTGCAGGGCCAGTGTTTTAGATCTTAAATGGAATTTGTTTGAACTAGAAAGCATAGGACATTACATGTTATCCAAAAAAGAGTAGGATTAGATCTCATGTGGGCTATCGTTAGCTTAGAGACAGGATAAGAAATTTAAGAGATGGTCGTCATGCAGACATAGCCTTTTCAATTAAATATATATATATGATAAGCAGTTCTGGCCTAATGATCAGTTGGAGGAGTTGATGGACCACATAAATCTGACACTTTATGAGTTTTCCATCCTCACTTTCTTGGATTATTCCATGGTCCCATATGGCCAAGAATTTTCTTTGATGGTCAGGCAAATGACGGTGCAGAGAATTCGATTGGCCATTCCCATGGAATATGTCCTCGAAGGTCAGAAATCTACATTGCCAGGATCCTGGTTTAAAAGATGCTGCAATACTTGTATAATAATAACTACTAACACTTTGACGTTTATCTTAAAAGCAATGTTAAAATGATACTGCAATCATTGTACAGAAGCTGTGATTGGATTAGTTTGGTCTGAAGGTGGAAAGTTAGCAATGCATTACCTTGTTCTTGGTCACCAATGTCTTAGTTGTCGTTTCCACTTGACCTGTAAGGGAATGGAACTCGGCCAGACTCAATTTCCCTGACGTCCTTAATGAGAATCTCATAGTGCCTCTTAACTTCCTCTGCAGATTTCCCACCCACAGCTTTGGCAACATTCTGCCAGCGGTCAGGGGTGTCCTTATCATAGAAAGCCAAGGCCTTTTCGAATAGTTTGTTCTGCTTAGGTGTCCAGGAGGAACTACAGCTACGTGAAGAGGTGAGAGAATTGGAAGCCATTAGTGAAAAAATCGAGTGCAGTCCTTAAACTATTGCAGGTAACTAAAGGGAGTTGACAGGTTCTGGAGGATTGATCAGTGGGAAAAAAATTGAGGAACTAGTTCAGAACCAGCCCAACATGCTCGAATTCCACGAAAGAGGAAAAAAAGGAAAAGATGGTTTCGTTAAGTCAAGGAAGATGGCTTGAAAGTAAAGGGATGGTATGGGTAAGTGATGATCGATGGAGCTCCTTATAAACAGGAGAGAGTAGTGGGGTAAGACAGTTGGGAGAATATATCTTGCAAAAGAGCAGAATATAGCGTGACTCGTCCACATAGGAACCACAAGATGGAGCAGGACAAGGAACAGTGAGTGAAAGAGAAGAATCAGTATCAAAGGACAGGCTCTTTATTTTTCTAAACCGAACAGATATTCTTGATTTTTATCATCAGCAAGTGGGATTTCCTTATTTAGTTACTGGTCGGTGGATGGTAAGATCAGATTTAGCATGTGATGTATAGTAATTAGCTGGAGAAATTTTACAGCCTGTTGCCTTTCGTCTCTATTTTATAAACAGAAAAATAATTATACTTTTATACAGTCTCAAAAGGGTAATTTCTCGAATGGAACTTGCGTACGTAGGAATTTCTGACATGAATAAGTGGAACAGATAGTCCTTTCCTATCTTAGGTTTAGGTTTAAATTTCTTGTCAGTTGGAAGTTACTAAGAACATGGGATCGACTCTCTCGACTATGAAGGCAAAAGGCCTGCCTCTGTAGTTACTTCTTTCTCGGATAAATCTATCAGTATTTGTTGCTATAAAACCTCCATAGAAATGAATATTTTCGAGCATCATCAGGTCCTCAGTGTGATGCACGTGCATGCGTATGCTACTAGATAGTGATCGCAGGAAAAGGAAGACACCCTCTTGAGCTATTCCCCTTATCTTTTTTACCCACAATTTCCTCTGGGAAAAAGCGGAGGGGGTGGGTTCTTTTCAGTGTTAATGTCGATTTTGACATTAAATTTGTTCGTATTTAAATGTAATATGGTTAACGTGCTTTTCACCCATATTCAAGATTTGAAAAATGGTAGAGGAATTCCCTTTTCATTCTTAATGTTGATTTTGACGTCAGTGTCGCTTGTATTTGGAATGTTAATGATCATCGATATGCATTTCACCGTTGTTCAAAAATTGTACAGAAATAGGCCAACCAGAAAATATATTATGGATTAATCATCACCTGATATTATCATAGAAGGGACACTTAACATAAAAGAAACTTGCAATCTACAACTTTTATCTATCTTTTTTCGAACTATCCGTCGAAGCATCAGGGATAATTGTTACTGCAGGATGGCATAGATTGCTTTTTTCTTTCCTTTTTTTTATATTTACAGGCAATGGTATATTTTTTGGTTATCTTTACTTTTTCAACTAAACCAACGTCAAAACATTAGATTGCTTTTTATATCCAAACTAAATCAATGTTAAAATATTCTTAATCTTTAGCTGATCACTTACCTGCTTCTTAGATCCAAACTAAACCAACGTCAAAACATTCTTAATTTTTAACCGATCACTGAACTACTTCTTATATCCAAACTAAACTAACGTCAAAACATTCTTAATTTTTAATTGATCATTGGACTGCTTCTTGGATCCAAACTAAATTAGCGTCATAATATTTTTAATCTTTAACCGATTACTAGACTGTTTAATCTTTAATCGATCACTGGACTGCTTCTTAGATCAAAACTAAAATGACGTCAAAATATTTTTAATCTTTAACCAATCATTAAATTACTTCTTAGATCCAAACTAAACTAACTTCGTGACATTCTTAATCTTTTAACCCATCATTGGAGCGCTTCTTAGACCTAATCAAGATAGCATGGTTTGCTTTTATATGCTTCATGGGAAACCAAAATAGTTGTGTGGAGGTCAAAGTGTTTCGACTGTTTGTAATCTTCATTCCAAATTCCGATGAAAGATTTATGGCAACAGACAAGGTAAAGTTTGATTTCGTTGTCAGCCAATTATTGCCTTCTTCCTTTTTTTTTTTGGTTGCTTCGTCCCACTACACTGGTGGCCAGTACGACTACTACTCCTTTCTGTGGCTGTTAACTTGCTTCATAATCAAGCTGTTAGGTAGCTTTTGCTGGGCCGGCATGTTAACCATTCAAGTTGGTTTTTTTGTCAGTGTTCATTTAACTGGACCACTTAAAAATCTAAGAAGATCTTCTTTCTTTCTGATAATAATTATCATGCTTGGTTCGTTTTTAATTTTACTACAATACAAATTTTATGACTTGATGCTTCCACTTTACTTTTATTCCAGCCAAAATTAAATGATTTTCCTGCTGGAAAGTTGAAAGTGAAAAACATAGCTCACTGTTATGCGAGGTATATGCTGATCAGCTTGAGATAATATCTAGGCGGATACTGAGAACCTCATTTGCCTACTTTCCCATAGATTAAGCTTTTGCAAGTGGAACTGTCCTGTCTTGTTTCCCTGCTAGAATCCAGAAATTGTTTTCTGGACTAAATAGTACGGATATTAGATTTCTAGCCACTTCCCCATGCTTTGTTTTATTATAATATCTTCAGGTAGGTGTATCATTTCAGTTTGATTGCTTGATGCAACACCGTTTTACGACAAAAATTGTGTAATTTGATAATTTCAGACTTTTATTTTTAATTTATGCAATTTAAATGACAAACTATCATTTCTCGATTATTTATAACGATCATTCTTTTAATCATTAACTCGAATGCTTAAAGATCGCCGTTTAAGCATTTCATATTTTTTTTATTTTTTTCCAAAAAAATATTAAAAGATAAATTATTTTCAAAATTAAAAGGTTTAAGACAGACGGCATGATCGTCTATCTTAACCACAACGTGACTCTAGAATAGCTTTTTTTTTTCTGTTTAACGATCAAAAAGTTAACCGTTACAAATAATTAAAAAAAGATATGATTTTTTTAAAAAAAAATTTAAAATTCAAATTATATAAATTGATAATAAATATTTAAAATTACGATTGTAATAAATTGAGAGAATTTTTGCCATAAAAGGGATGCAATACTACGTAGTATGTTTTTTGAAATCCTGCATTAGGCTAATATTTATTAGGGATAAATTCTTCCATATCTTTTTAAAGGCGTTGAAAAGGTATGCGGTTGGCGTTCAGTTCCATGCCTTTTCAGACACTGAATAAGGCACTTTTGGGCATTTCCTAAGTCCAGCAAGTCTATGGGTATATATGCTTGTCGCGTACTGCAGCAATCTTTAGTCTCAGAATTTCAAATATGATTTTTGAAATTTCTAACTTTTAGTTTTTTAATATTTAGTCAATCTAATAATTTTTAGTTATCATTTTATCTGCTAAAAAAAATTTAATTTTTTGTATTTTGAACTAAAGTTTTGCACACATGTTGAAAAAAATCAAATCTAATTTTTTTGAAAAATCCCAGAATTTTTCAAAATCAGAAGGTATATTTATTTATTGTTTAACATTAAAAATATAAAAATCATAAAAAATAGAAAATAACTCATAATGATCCCAATTTTTTTTTTTTTTTGAAGAGTCTTGCCGAATGATTTTCATCATAGAATTATTTATGTGATTGTTATTTTTTGAGATAAATGACAAAAAACTGAAGGATTGATTAAATTTTAAAAAATTAAAAAGTTTAGGCATCTCAAAAACTAAATTTAGAGTTAAAAATTTCAATTTTAAATTAGTTAATGTTTAGAAGAGATTTGACGCATTTGACTCCCAATAAAATTGCAATGAGCAATAACTTCATCTAGGTAAGCTAATTTTGGCTAGATAGGTGAGATTGAAAAAGGAAAGAAAATAAAACTTATAATTTGCAGTGGTGATAGTGTCAAAATATTATTCTTTAACACACCATTTCGAGTGAAAATCATTTGGGATTAAAACTTGTAAATTATTCTCTAACACATTCTCTCGAGTGAAAATTGTTTGAGATTGAACCTTGCCCAAGCTCATACTACCTTGTGCTTAATTAATTAGAACAGAAATAAGGATAGTGATATTTGAATTTATGATTGTTTGGTTATCAAAAATCTGATATCATATCAAAAAAATCGATCATTTCATCTGAAAAAGTAAACTATAGGTAAATTCTGAGATATAACGTATATTATTCTCTAAATTCGTGGACTGGAAAAAGAGAGGGTGGGAGTGCGGTGGAGCCAAATGATTAGCTGAGAGAGACCTTAATTTGACAATGTCGATGGAATCTCTATTATGCATAGTGGTCCTTATAGTACATTATCTTTTCTGGTATTTGGAATCCTTATCACCTCAAATCGACCACCATGAAAGTAAATCCCACAGATTCTTTCTTTTTCTTTTTTCCAGTCCTGTGGAGTCTGTTTTAATTCCAAATTTGCCTCTCAGATTTGGAAATGTGGTAATAAGGTGGTGATAAAGGTAGGAGATGTCTAGATGGTCATACAGAACCTTTGTAGAATATGTGATTGCTAGCTTATTCTGGAGTATTTCTCTTGTTTATAGGTCCAAAATCAAGAGAATTTCAACCTATATGTCAGGATTGGAAAATTCCTTACTTTTCACCTGGTCCTAATTGCATCTGGTAGCTAGCATAAGCATTCAAAGTGCGAACAACTTTTACTGGGAATCTTTGAAAGAAAGAGCAACTGGCGAAAAAAAATATTATCGAGACCTGAATCTGCTTCTGGCAAACAGGGAGGATCTTCATTGATCCGGTTCCTCAGCTATGAGGTATAGATACCTATAGGGTAGAGCAGACTTTGGAGTGTGCGTGTGTATTGTAGTAAATGGGACGGACACAATTCTGTGTTGATGAGAAAAAGCTAGTAAACCACAAGCTCCAAGAAGATAAAAGATCTGTGGCTTGAATTATATGGATAAGATAGGATGCACAATTATTTTAATGGGGTTGAAAGGTATGACTTGAATTGCCCGGAGGATCAAGATAAAGTGGTGGCAGGATTGAATTT